TTGTGATGATAAAATTGTCTGTTATGTCTACTTCTGATACAAATGACTTACAGTTGAGATTACTCTTTTTCTACCAACATGTTATCAATACCTACACGATTTTGGCCCGTTTCTCATCTTTGTATATGCATTTTTAAGTGCTGTAAACCTTCTTCACATTGAATATTGGAATATTCCTGGCTAACATACTTGTTTGACTTCATGTCGATATTTGCCGGAAATCACACATTTTCCTTTTGCTCGGTTATTGTTTTCAAAAATAATTTTAGATTATATCAATGAAATCAACAGGGCATGTGGGCTATAAAGCGCATTCATCAACATTATTTGTCCTCGTGTTTGAAAAGAAAGTCTCATTAATTTGATATCATCTTATTCTCGTCTGAAAGTTTTTGTATTGATATCTTTTATGTAAAATATAACACTGTAATTTTGCTTAAAGTCACCTTTCTTATATTATAATGTATATCCGTACATATCGAAAATACATTTCACATGTATTTGCCAAGTTTCAGTGGAAACAATGAAATCAAATCTGATATTTTTCCCATTGGGGTCTTTCATACATCATAGTTTTTTTCCAAATACATCAACATCATCAATATTCAGTGATTTGTCTACATCAAAATCCCTAGTACCTACATTGATTCATAGTGAAATATACCTAAATGAATATTCATTCCATTTCAATTGACCAATGAAGCAAAGAATGTGAATAGGATTATTTGTAGTATACCTAAGGAATGTGTAAAACGATCTAAAATAATAGATATAAATTATTGGGCAAACAATTTTTTTTTGTAGTTTCTTAGTTTTTTCCCAGTAGTATGTGCGCCGGACTCCACATCTTTCGGTTTCTTGTTTCTGGCGTCTTTATTTGGATCTGTTGAAGTTTTGGTATATATTGATTGTTCTGTTCACATATTTCAAGGGTACTTCTGTTCCAGATGACCATGACCATTACCTTAGTTGGGCCTGCAGTGAATATGGGCTTGTACTTTTTTGTGATGTTCAGCTTCTGTTAGGTCTTCATATGAATAGCATTCACTATCAAAGAACAGCTTGTTAACGAAAATATTGGCTTCATGATTGTTTTTTTTAGCGAGCTTCGAATAAATATCTGAAATTACAAATTTTCAAATTCCAAAGGTAGGAGCTCCAATAGCTGATACGATGGGGCGCATTGATTTTCCCGGTTAATTGATTTTTGGGAGGCAATATAGTTTCGACGCCATTGGGTTGGAAACTTGTAACTTCCGTTTCAGTTGAGGGGTAAGTATGCTGTCGCATTTTTTAATGGGACAATCATTTTGGTAACGGGTTCCTGGACAATTTCGCATACGGTCCGTTAGTAATGAGAGTATTGACCATTTCGTAGTAGTCCGATTTATCCAGAATTACTACTTTGTTACCTTTGTCGGCTTTCAAATGAAAAACGTCCTTTTCTCTCAATCGTTTGATAAGTTTCTTTTGGTATTTATTGTTGTTCATTAAATCCTTCCGTTTATCTGTTATTTTGTTCTTGGAGAATTGATTCCTGAACTTTTCTCGAACTAGTCTCTTCGAGAAATGGGGCATATATTGAATCGAACTTTCAACACTAGCAACGATATCCTCAAGAATTTTCTCGGAAGGCGGGATGCCAAATTTCAAACCCTTGTTCAAAAGGTTGATCTCTTCCTTATCAAACGATTGTGGTGAATGATTTTAACAATATTTATGACTTTCGGAGTGGTTTCTGTCGATTTATGCTTAAATATGAGGGTTTTGAGTTTCTTATTGAGCGTACACATTTTTCTGATATATTTTGATTCAATCATCAGGAACATTCCTCTCTGAAAGTCATTCCATTGTACGTAATCATTTTCGTCTAATCTATATGTTTTTTATATAGACTATAACTATCTAATTCTAAGAAACTACGGTTGGTGTACAGATGATCGATTTCTAAATCAAGCCATTTTTCTTTGGCAAATTTTTGGACTTTATCAGCAACTGAAGACTTGTAAGAAATATTTACGGTAACAAATTTGGAAAAATTGAATATCTTTCACAGCTCTTTAGAAACCAAATATCTGCTTGTATTGCGCCCCATCGTGTCAGCTATTGGAGCTCCTACCTACCAAATAGCAAAGTGGCTCACTAAGGAATTTGAAACCTTGTTTATCGTGGAACCAAGTTACAGTATAAAAAACTCTTTACAGTTCATACAACATACAAAAAAGTGGTTCTCAAGAAGTTGAGATTTTGGTTTCTTTTGATGTTAGTTCCTTATTTCCTAGCGTCCCAATTCCATATACCTTGCAATATCTCAAGGAATTACTAAAGAAAAATAATTTCAATAATAACGAAATCGATGAATTCGCTTCTCTTACTAATTTGTGTATGAAACAAAATCGGTTTCAGGTAGAAGGTTGCTTTTATGAACAACAGGAAGGAACGGCCATGGGAAACCTCTTGTCCCCCTACCTGGCAGACCTGTTCATGAGCAGATTCGAAGTGGAAACCAAAGAAAAGTCAAAGTATTTTCCTAGTATTTGGCTAAGGTTTGTGGATATTTTCGCGACATTCGATACCAAAAAATCGAATATTGACGACTTTGTTTCTATTTTAAATAATAGATATCCATCAATAAAATTCACGTATGAGTTAGAAAATAAGGGACAACTACCATTTCTTAACGTTTTGGTAATGAGGAGCCAATATAGAAAAGAAACAAGCACGTACAGGTATATTCCTGACAGTTCACATCACTGTGGACAGCACAAACGTGCTGGGTTGAATTGTTTAGTGCATAGTCTTTTGACTTTCCCTCTAACACATGATAGGTTCACAAAAGAAAGACGTACAATACAGGAAATAGCAGCCACTAACGGTTTCTCGAGGGGTATTGTAGATGACATAATGAGGAAAAAGAAGTTTAGGTTGATAATGAACGAAATCTCGACTTTCAGAAAGGACAAAAACCAAGATGAATACATCTCAGTTCAAGGTGGTTTTTGAAACAAGTCATACACTACAGAGACTTTTGGGAAGTCCAAAAGACAAAGTCAAGAATTCGGAAAAGTCTGGAATTCACGAAATTGAATGTAAGGACTGCGATGCAAAATATTATGGACAGACAAAAAGATTTATTGAAGAAAGATATAAGGAACACATAGCACACTTAAAATATGGAAGACCTGAAAAATCAGCAGTCGCCCATCATATTTTGCAACAAAACCATTCCATAGACTTCAGTTCATTAAGATTAGTTAGACAAGTTAACAACAATAGGCAACTAGTCGCCTATGAGAGTGTAGAAATTAGTAAACACAATAATATTATGAATAACGATGACGGACCTATATCAAAAAGCATACTATATAGCTTGTTAAAATAAAATAAAATAATGTTGTTGGGTTTGCTGATCACTACATAAGGACACATTGCAAAAATAAATTTGGATAGGCAATATTGTGAAATTAATTTTTATATAGCTGAAAATTGTTTTATATGAACATATATTGTAAAATAATAAATAAGACCAAATTGTAAAATTAATTCAGGTTGGTATATCTGTATGGTTGGTACGCCTGGATGGTTTACCTGTATGGGTTACCTATATAGCTCGCATTAGTTTCTAGTTCTGATTTTCCTCTTTGAGGTGTTAAAAATAACGTGTCGAGTTGTTAAAAATAACGATTTAGTTTTGGGAAAAAACTCCAGTAATATTCAAAGTATTTTTCACAATGAAAACTGTACTATTTATCAGTAACTTGTCGTATTTATCAATTTTGCCTATCAAAAAATTGCTTAGAAATAATACAATACTTATCTTAACGTTCCAGAGGCCAAAATCTGTCTCCGTCTTCAGAAATGGTCGAAAAATTCAAAGATTTCTTTTCTGATTATTTATATCTCAACTTCTTCGACAGATGTCGAAATGTGCATATCAGAACTGCTTCGAAGATTGAGAAAAATCCGGCACGAGTGTATTATATTTCCAGAGAACAAAATCGAGAAGGATGAATGAATAAATATTTTTTGAGAAAAATCAAAATACATTAAAGGACCTCGTACGTCCAGATGAAGTGAAAACTACTAATTTTAGCCAAGCTGAGTAGTCTAAAAACGTAATTTGAAGTTCATGTTATTATTACATGATATTTTTCATTCATTAGAGTTGGTTGAAGATGAGTTGACTAAATGTATAGCCATAAATGTTTCTTTTTGATAAATATTAGAGAAGAGGGCATGAGGGCTATGATTTTGAATTATCACAGTTAATTTCGAGAAGATTGTGTATTGTAATTATTACATTCTTAGTTTTCATCAATTAGGCAGTACACAGCTTGTATATTCAGTACAGATTTCAGTGAAATTGGTAGTTATAATTCTGGAGAGAACTAGTTAAAATTCGAAACTAAAACTTCATTTCTCTCAAAAATAAAAGGTGCTGCTAGACACTTTGGTTGACAAATCAGTATGACAATTCTACACGCTACACCAGTTCACCTCTAAGACAATAAATTTGCACTTTCCTCAGTAAATAATAAAACATTGTACAACTAATCAAAAATTTGTTAGATAAGTTAAAATAAAAGTAATCACATGTCGAAAAAGCTACATCTTTCTAAATTCATTCATTGCTCATGAATAATTTGGTTACAGATGATATCAATTCGACATACCACCAATTAACACAGAGTTGCTAAATCATTATTTTTTCTTCTCCCCTGGAAAATTTCGAGTTGGTCCTTTTTGCAGTCAGTTAATTAAATATCTTCACATAATATTGAAACTCAATCCGATAATTGTTGGTGTTTCATATTTTCTGCAACGTAGCTGAGATATTTTTTTGAGTGAATTTGAATTACAGACATTCAAAATTCATTTCTGGTTTATAATCACCAACTTCCAGAGATATGATAAGGACTAACAAAATTGATACTATTCAATCTTGTTCTATATCAATATCGATCGCTCAAAAAAGAAATATAGAATGAAAAGGGAAAACATATGCTTTCGTATATTTTTTTATTCGATAACACTTTGCAATGGTACAGTCTGATGATAATTGATAATTGATTCCACTAGTTGCGCCTATTCAATCAACCTACACATTCATTCTTCAAGGTGTCGGTATCAATAAGAATATCTGACAAAGTATTTTTAAGTTTACTCAAACTACAATCGAACTGCCAACAACCTTCTGGAGTTATTTTCTCAATGGTATCCTTATCTTTATAGTAGATGTTGACATGATATCTCCCAAGAAACTCCCACAGCTCAAAATATATAGTACTGGCAAAATATGGTGCCCGAGGAGGATTGAATCTACCCAGACTTGATAGTACTTGAGCAATATTGAAGTCATGGGCACTATACATCCTGTAAAATTCAGCAGTCGAAGAATTCTTTCTCATTTTTTCGAAATGTCCGATGACTTCATTAAGGAATGGTCCAGCACCTACGATGAAGTTTAGAAATCAATGATAATGTAACGGTTACCAAAGAATTATACAATATCCATAATACTCACTGAGCCGCATTAATTTTCTGTTATAAACGTAACTCTGGAACCGTAAACCTTCAAGTGTTGCGAGGGGTTCTGGAAAAATTGCCTGTGTCCAAGAAGGCAGCGTGTAGCCTAACTCATTTTCAATGAAAAGCGAATCAAAAACGGTACCAATTCCTTGCAATGTAGTAATATTTGATCCACTGTAGTTGCTGATATACTCGTAAGTATCTCGGTACTGCTCATCAATTTTCTGAAAATACGGTTCTTCAACCGTAACTCTTTGTTGTTCAGCATCATAAGCTGGACAATTTGGATATGAATTAATAACATTCGGATCCGATGGATGAACGGGAATCGGACTCCAATCTATGTCTGGATTCCAGCGTTCCGTTTCTGTGGGTGGAAACAGTCCCAGGAGGTTGCACTGAGCTGACATGTGAGTTCTATCCACATCTGTCGTTTGGGCGTAGAAAAAGTTGTTAGAGTAAGCTGCTGGTAAGTTGTTGATATATCTCTGTCGAGTGTATTCACCAAGGTGGAAATGTTGCGTTTTACCAACCTGAAAACAAATTATATTCATTCGTATGTACTACGGGTTCATGAAATGAAACTATTGGGTCATTGATATATTCAGTGGGAAAGATTGAGTAAATTATGCAATTTAATTTTTTATTTCCTTTTTTGAACATTCTCGCTAGTAACTGAGTGTGGTAAAAAATGTAAACTTTCACGGCTGGAGATAACTGTGTGGAAGCTGAAAAAATTTTTATCACCAGCCGAAATAGAAAAGAGGGGTAATAAACCAGGTAAATAAACTCGGGAACTGCTTCCATTACCATATCACCTTTGATAATGTGTACTACAGTAGTAGACGAAACGTCAGGCATAAAAACCTGCACACCACGGCCAAAAAACCGAAAAATAGTTTATACATTGGTGTGATCAACTTCACAGAGCCAACTCTTTCAGTTTTTGATCTATTTTTCAGGGATTTGTTGGTGATGATTTCTGTTTTATTTGATATTTTCGCGTAGTTACCGAATAATTTTGAAATATGCTCCTTCATTCTCATTCCTGTTTTCATTTTTTTTTCATTCACGATTAACGACTTCGCAGCAGAAACGCCAGGAAGCGTCTTTCATAGAATAATAATGTTACCTTTATAGAAGAATGTTTGATACCTTCTGTTGCATTTTTGCAATTTTCGTAGAGACCTCCATTTTTTATTCAATATATTGAAATCCTGTCCCATAGAGTTTACGGTTGCACTCTTCCGAAACGGCTCAATCAATTCTAACAAATATAGTTGTTTGGTGTATTATTGTGTTTCCAGAAAATAGAAACATGGTAAATTTCGAGAAGGATTGTTGTAAGATCTACAACTGTGACAATGTGTTGCTGGCTGAAGCTATAATGACAGATGATGTGTACAAAATTGAATTTTTAAAAAAGGCTAATTTTGCTGACAGGCAAAAGCTGGATCTGGTGACGTTTGGCACAAAAGAATGGGCCATATTAACTCAACTTACTTAAACAAAATGAGAGATCGGTTAGTTGATGGTGTGAACGAAAGTGGCCGGGTAAACATTGAAAAAACTAACTGTGAAGTGTGTTGTGAGAGGAAGCAGACTCGTCAACCGTTCAATCACAGTGGAACCAGAGCATTTGGTCTAAATACTTGGATGATTTTAGCAGAATGTACTTTGTTTATTTTTTGAAGTCTAAGGATGAAACCTTCCAAAAATTCAAGGAATTCTAAAGTATGGTGTAAAATCAGCTCAACAGGAAAATCAAAGTTCTTCGTACCGATAATGGCAAGGAATATGTGAATGCTGAGTTCCAGCAGTACCTGAAAAAGAAATGCATTATTCATCAGACTACAAACACCTGCACTCCACAGTAGAATGGACTTTCTGAAAGACTCAACAGAACGTTGGTTGAAAAAGTCAGAAACTTTATGAAACTGGCTTGGAGAATTTTTTTGTGCAGGAGCGGTAAATACAGCCTGTTATCTACGACACAGGTCTGTAGTAAGCAGCTTGCAAAAAACTCCATATGAAATTTTTCACGGTGGAAATCCTGATTTGAGTCAAATCAGAATTTTTGGAAGTCCAGTCATGACGCATGTACCCAAAGAGAAAAGACCGAAATGGGATAACAAGTCCAAAAACCTAATCCTAGTTGGATTTTCGGAAACTACGAAGGGCTACAGGTTGTATGATCCAGAAACCAGACAGGTATCCACAAGCAGAGATGTTCATATTTTTGAAAATGATGTGAAGTCTGAGATTAGTTTTCCGGTAGAAGGGGAGAAAACTAAGTTTGAATCAAGCCAGAGTCAAGAGTTTAAGTGGGAGACGGATTAATGTAGTCAAACTGATGGAAGTAAAGTAGTGGATGACAAAGACTTAGACAGGATTGAAGAAGATAGTACTTCAGTGGTCAGGCGATCCAAAAGAACAAAGAAACCAAAGCAGTTTGATGATGTGATATACTTCACTGCAAAAGCAGCTGCGTCATCAATTGGAGTGGGAGATTCAGAATCTGTGACAGAGGCTCTCTCGGGTACAAATCGTGATCAGTGAAAATGCGCTATGGAAAAAGAAATGGAGAGTTTTAGTGAAAATAATGCGTGGGATATTATCGAATTACCAGAAGAGTGTAAACCTGTAAAGTGTAAGTGGGTTCTCGAAAAAACCCAAAAATCATATTATCTTGGTAATATAATTCATAGGGCGAGATTCGAGGCTAAGGGGTTCAGTCAGCGTCCAGGCATTGATTTTGACGAAACTTTTCCTCCAGTTGCCCGTCATTCAACATTAAGATTGTTGTTAGCTTTATCTGTTCATTTAGATATTGAAACAGCCTTTTTGAATGGAAAATTGAAGGAAAAGTTTTTTATGGACATGCCAGAAGGTTTTGCTACTAATACAGATAACAGTGATAATGTTGTATAAAAATTAAATAGAGCTGTATATGGTCTAAAACAATCCTCACGTATTTGGTAGAAAAGGGTTGGGAATGTACTTACTAGTTTGGGGTATAAGAAATGTGATAGTGAACCTTGCGCTTTTGTAAAACACGACAATGGTTTCCTTACTATCATAGCACTTTATGTTGATGACTTCTTTATTTTATCTAATTCAACCCAGGAAACACAGATTCTGAAAGAGCACTTAGCTAATAAATTTGAAATAAAATATTTAGGTGAAATTCATCAGTGTTTGGGGATGAGAGTTAGAAAAAGTAAAGATGGAAAAGAGATTTTACTGGATCAAAAACAGTATGTAAATCAAGTTTTGGAAAAATTTCAAATGAGTGATTGTAACAGTAACAGTGAGCACACCCATAAAAAATGTGTTCTCTTTGATGAGGAGGATAATTTTAGTTTGTGTTCGAAAGAATTACCTTATCAGCAGCTTATTGGTAGCCTTATGTATCTGTCAGCATTAACTAGACCAGATATCACTTTCGCAGTCAATTTTTTGAGCCAGTTCAACAATTGCTATACTGAGCAGCATTGGAAGTATGCAAAAGTAATTTTAAAATATTTGCAGGGCACTAAGAATTATTGTTCGAGGTATAAAAAGGGTGACGATGATCTGATAGGTTTTGTGGATGCAGATTTTGCTAATAATCTAGTTGATAGAGGGTCATATACTGGCTTCATTTTCACATTGTCAGGAGGTGCAATCTCATGGGAATGTAATAAACAGCGAACTGTAGCTTCGAGCAGTACTGAAGCTGAATACAGGTTTTTTCGACTAAATTTTTCCTTTTGTTCTATTTTGTATGAAAAATTTCACGTTAATCTCAAATTTTCACTCTGCTACGTCACATTCTAATTACTAAACACGTTTCGCTGTTACCGTAGCTTCGTCTACCGAGGAAGCTACGGTGGTAGCGAAACACGTATGAGAATTGAAATGTTTGTAGGAATTATGTGATCATTATCATGGATTATATAGATATCATGAACAGTAATATGTGCATTTGTTGAGACATGAAAATTCTAGAATATCTCCGAAATGTCAATATTTTGTCATACTGCCGAACAATACTAGAGACTCTGAAGTGATTCACTTGCGAGTTCAAAATAACTTGTAGTTACAAAGTCTCCCTAGGCCATCTAGTTATTCTTGTGAAGATTTGTGAAGATAGCCCTAGCACCCTGTTTTATCACGAAGTAGCCCCAAAGAAAAATGTCTTAGCTATCAAAATCAGTTTTGCAAATAGCAAAGATGAGGGTTATGTATAAAAGATAATAAAGGTCTCAGGGTTGAGACGTAAGAAAGACTCACGTCCAGCTACAATATACAGTATATTCCAAAAATGTTCTCACTTTTTGATGTTTCTATTAATTGGAATATTTCATTCTGATTCATTCAACACAAGCTCATTTGTCTCAAACAACAATTCATATATTTCAATTGTCTAAAGCAAAGCACAGAAACAGAGCAGAAGAAGCCATTGTATAATTGTGAAAATTGTATTGATGTTTTGTGAACAATACAAAAACAAAGCATTCGCAATGCAAAAATGGGCAGCGATATCCTTAAAGACTGAGAAAATGTTGGCATGGTCACTATCTAAGGTATAGACAAAAAACTCAAATATTACTCGTCGGAAATGAACAACTGGTTATCACGACGGTATGTGTAAAAACAAGTTTTGACATCATCCACTGAATGAAAGCCTTAGGCTTTCTCTGCAACTTCAATCGCAAGGAACGGAATGGATTTGCAAGAGTCCGTCATGGATTTTTTTTCCTAAAAAATATTATCCAACAATGTATTTGTTTTTCAGTCTTGTATCACAGTTCAAACCTACAGCAGGTCTGAAGAGCATTGTCTGATGTTAAATAATTATCACTTTGGAAAATGAATCGAACAATTTTGTATAGAAGTGTATAATTGTAAAATATTATTGCAAAGCGCTTTCGATTTTAGTCATCATCAGTGCCCACTGGTCAGGCAACAGAAAGTATCGAAGTATTAAGACACTACATTTGTAAAATTTGGTTTATATAAAATTGATCAACTTCATAATCAACAAAATACCTAGCCACATGGGTTCAATCTCCAACGTGTATTTCGTTGGTTATTGGGTTGAGGAGTTTTATACAAATTAAATTTTACAAATGTTCTATGTGTTCATACTTCGTTACTTTCTGTTGCCTGACGAATGAGCACTGAGGATGACGAAAGTCGAAAGAGCTTTGCAATAAGATTTTGCAATTATACACTCCTATACAAAATTCCTTACGATGTGTACTCATCCATCACAATGTGTACTCAGTTTCCCACTCATTCATTCAATGAGTGCTTTGTTCTTTGGGATCTACAAGGTTGAAACCATCGGAACATATGAAAACAACAAGAGTCGAAATGGAGGTTGGACATACAGATCAGAGATTTCATTGAACCTTTGAAAGTTGGAAAAAATGTTGGCTTCATCTTTATATAGAAAATGTGAAAAATTGAAGATCATATTTTGAGGTATGGAAGTGATAACATCAAAAAATGATTATTGAAAGATGACATAGAAACCTCTGTGGTAGCAACATATTATTGAATTACCATTCGTATCATACCAGTAAAATCAAAATTAACACAAGAATTGATTCCTTGATTAATCAATCTGGCAAAAAGCAGAAAAGTGAAGTGAGTATTGTATGTGATGCATTAATTTCATGTACAGACTTGATTTTTCATTTCTATAAATCTAACACATATCTTGAAATCTGTAAAAAGTGATAATATTAGAGAGAAATATTGAAAGATGACATAAAATCCTCTGGGGTGGCAACAGACTCTTGAATTATTATTCACATCACAATAGTAAAATCAAAATTAACACAAGAGTTAATCCTTTGATTAATTATTCTTACAAAAACAAAAAAGTGTCTTGTAATTTGTGAAAAGTCTTGACATGAAAATACAAATTTTTAAAGCTCGACTACTTTATGTATAGGCTCAGTGTTTAAGGTATTCCAATCCAATTATTAAAACTCTTACCTAGTTCTTCTCAGTGGAATTGAAATTTTTCAGACATTAAAATGAATCAATTTGATATCCATTACTTTTTGTGAATGTTATTTTCTGAAAGAATATGGAATAAAGAGGTTTTTGAAAAATTCACTATTGACAATATTGAAATTTCTAGAAATATACTAATTAGGACTAACGTTTTCACTTACATTTGTTAGTTGTCCTGGTCCTACTGGCCAATAGGCTACATCTTTGTATGGATCATTGGGGTAGTGGTTGATGGGCGCTCTTTCGCCATGTCGAAAAACCTTTGGAAACAAAAATATTGAACAGATGCTAACAATATATACATCGGTTATTTGCAATTTCGAATAAGATTATCGACCATAGAAGACTACAAACTAACATCGTTTCCCCTAATGACATCTTTTGAAAAAATAATTGAAGTGACTTGATATTTGAGATGAATTTGATCTACGACTAGGTACATATCCATCGTTATGAATGTTCATACTCTAATACTGCAAAATGTAATTCGACAAAAATTTAATCGGTTGTGAAAAATTCAAGGCATTTTGTTAAAATACTGAAGGCGACAGAAGTCACAAAGCAAGATCAATCAATCAGTTTCGACGTGGAAAGGCTTCACACCAACGTTTCTGTCGAAGGAGCAATTTGAATCACACAGAGGACGAGAATCTGAAAGAAAGAACGAATCCAACTATAGAAATAGTCATGCAATTACTGGGATGCTGTTAACGAAACTGCTATTTTCAACTTGGCCTCATCTTCTGGCCAAGATGAGGGACTGCCACTTTTACCAGTTATAGCCAACATATATACGGAGTGGTTTGAAACTCTGGGTACAAGTACACCAGAATCTGCTACAGATCCGAAAACACCATCAATAGCAGCCACACGAAAACCAGGCCACAAAACTCGAAGTGCGATTTCAAGAATTGCATGACGAAAGATGTAATTCTTGCAATTGCATTGCCGAGCACACGAGAAACACACAGCAAGGAGAAACCAGCAAATATGGAATAACAGAAAATGGTTGGACTCATCAACATATTATGAAGTAGTCCCAAGCAGAGATCTTTCAAAGGGAGAAATATTGATTCAAGGGGAAGTTCAAAGAAGCCTCATAGTGTCATCCAACGACACATTCAGCTAAGATTGGAGATAAGCAACATATGGAAATCTGTAATCAACCGAAAAAACTGATCAACTCCCACTGAAAAATCGGTGAAGCGGCGAGAGGGATGAAAGGATGAGTGAAAGCGCTCAAATGACCTATAAATAGTTATCTCTCGGAAGAATAATCCACTCATCATTCGAAGACTTTTGTGGATACTAACAATCGGAACGTCGTGAAGTCATTCGGTTTGAAATCATTTTATTTGTTTTTTTTAAATTTTTTGCTAGTTCTCATTTTCATTTCCGACGGTAGCTGGTCGGTTCGACGTGTGGGCTTTTTTCACTCTCTCGAATAGACCGCCCTATTGGTTGCTGGTTCAAGCCCCAGGCTAAACATTCTATTTTCACTTGCTATCCTTCAACCCGTTTTAGGAATCACACGTGAAAAGGTAAGACCCCGTTAGTCCTTAGCTCGTAAAGTTTCAACTTCTGAGGATTGTCGTTCATAGGGATGCGACAACTGGTTAACGGAAAAACAGATTTTTTTTTATTTTTTTTTTTTAGTTTCATTCTGTGGTCATTTTCATCTTGATTATTCCGAACGTTCAACTATATTTACATTTCACGTATTATTGCTGTATTCAATGTATTTCCATTTCACGTTTTATTGCTTGATATAACCGATATTTCAGCTGTCTCTTTCAATTTTATCTGTTCTTTCATAGATTTCGAATCATATTAGAATCATATCAGACAATGGAAGTCGGAACTGGTGAAATTCATGATATATTTGGACTGTAAAAAATATGAAGACTAGACGAGAAAAAGGTAACCATCGTGTAGAACAGTACAATGGTCAGCAAAAATTGGTCCTTCGAGCAGGATATTTTTAACATTGATTAAAAATATTCATAATAATTTTCAAGTTTTTACTTGAAACTGTGAGTGAACAGTAAACATCGTACTATCGACATCAGTGTAATCTTGCACAACCCGAAGCAGCAGCATACCAGTTCCAGGATTTCAAGTGTCGAAAATTCATTGCGTACAACAGCCCAAGCAGCGGTTATCAATCTATTCAATGAATTCATGGCCAGCAGCATCGATATCTTGTCAAAATCGTCAGTGGTCACGGTAAGTCGTTGAACTATCCTATCTTATCCTACTCATATATTCTTTCATTGTTCAAAATTACGTTTCAAACCTTGTAAGAGTACAATAAGAATTAAATCTTGTCTTGTCTACAGTACATCTAGCTAGTTATCTTTCTCATCCTATCTTTTCACAAGGGTTATTGTAATTCTTGTGTGCATTGAGCATTCATACGATGAAACAATCGTGGGCCATAACAGGGACAGGGTCATTTGCTCATTTCGAATCACACTAAGAAAACTGAAATTGCTGTTTTTGTTTTGAACGTTTACAATAAATTCTAAATTTGATGGCCCCTTTTTCGAATACACGCTTTTGTGGCACTTTTCTAGCATAATGGGTATAATGCTATTACATACATCGCTTGTTTTCAGTATGAGATGATCGATTTCTGTAGCAGGCATCAAAAAACTTCATTCTCTATGTATACCCAAAAAAAAAACCTTGAGAAGTGGGATATGGGGATCGAAATGGCCCAGGTGAGTGGTCCCTTACCAGTATGACTCTTTCAAAACAATAATTCCGAAATTTTCTTGACAATGGGTTACTTTATGTGAATACTCATTTGTTTTATTAGACCTATAATGGGTGTTTCTATCAAACCAACCATTGTTGGTTGGTGAATTTTGATTCGTTCGTTCATATTATTTTTTTTTTTTTAATATTTTCATCCCACGTCTCAACCACTTCGCAAATCATACTCTCTTTCTGTAATCCTTTCCATTAAGGTAATTAACATTGCGTATCCTGTAGCATTTTTTTTTCAAAATATTTCTGGTAGAATTTACAGAAATCCTTAATTCATGAGCAATTTCTTGAGAAAAACAATCTTGATTAGAAATACTTTGGTAACTGATCCATCCTAATTCGATAGTTTGCTCACTTTTGATCATCTTCTTTGGGTGATATGTGCTCACCATTGCATTCATTTGTTTTCTCATATTTGAAACATGTCAATAAAATAAAACAAGTCACCACATTGAAAAAGTTTGACCCCTCACTGATATCAGGAAGAGTACTTAACTTTGAATAATAAAATCGTTATCTGATTTGAAATGATAAAGAACTGGCAAAAGCCATATGGTTGCAGACCACAGAGGGAAAGAGAAAGGTTGTCTCTCTCTCTGTGGTTAAAAAAAAATTATGATACATAACGAAAATTTACGTTCAAAACATACCTGTACAACAGAAATCAAAGTTGCTCTCGCCCAAATTGGTGAAGTCAGAGATAAAATAATTATGAAAGACCTTACTAGCATGGTTATTGTTGAATTCTCATCACCCCAACTGAAACTATTTTTGTTGCATTATGCACTTCCTTTTATACTCGAAATCATGGAATAATATAATTTTACAATTCAATAAACTAGTTATTCCGTTAATATTTCATCAGAAAGTATATTGAGCTAGATTAAAAGTTTGAAATTAAATTATCAAAATGCACCTTGTTATCTTTATGATATTTTCATAGGCAATGTCACAGAAATAACAAATATTACCCCGGAAATCAATGAATAACATTTGAATCCTGTAAGTAATTATTTCCCGTATCAATTTTCGGTTGTTATACTTTTTTTGAAATGTTTGGTACAGTTCTGTTCCGTTCACGGAAAAATACTGAAAGAAATTACCTACTAATTAGTTGATCAAATGTTCAGGTTTCAATTCAGATTTTTGTCGGTTAAGAAATAGAAACGAAATTAAAAAGTTAGTTGAATGAGTTGAACAAAGAAATAAGCGCCAGCTAATATAATATATTTGTTGAAATCGCAAAAGTCATTTCACTGCAAAGTTGCCCTGAAGTGTCTGATTCGTGCTATGAAAATAACGCCTCTGTGGCAGTACAGAAGCCTTCTTTGAAATTTCAAAAGGGTTATATTTTTAGGAGTGACTATTTACGACTGAATTGAATTCTTCATTGTCCATTTATTTCGGAATCTCGGAATGGTTCTCAATTCATCTGACTCAAATTTTTGAGGAATTTTTCAATGAACTCGTATATTATTCATGAACAAATTACAGCTCTCAACAATATACACTGTGTCCAAGATAAGAATAAATAGCATGAGGGATATCGAAAACGGTATAAGATACGGGGTCGATTGAATTAGAGAAAAGTAGTGCAATTATGTGCTTAACAATATGCCATTGAGAAAGTTTCAATATTTCGAAAAGTTTTGGAGATATCCGAGAAAAACCAAAATTTCAGAATTTCGTTTTTATTTTCTCCTAGCTTTATTTTCGAAAAAAATGTAAAATAAATAGCACTTTGCCATGCCTACTTTTCAAGGACTACAAGATAACGTAAGCAGAATTTTTCTGCGACGTTTCATCTTTTAGAAAACATCATCAACTTTGTATTTTCATATGGGCCGAAACTAAAGTATACATTGGATACGACTCCATTTTTCATTGTTGATACAGCAACGTATCACACAATGTGATTTCATTACCATTTCTCGCGCAAAATGAAAAGTGATTACCTACTTATCCTACTTTTTTTCAATTTTAGATAGTACGCGCTGGAAAAATGTCATATTGACTAGTCTTATTCATTAAAAATTTTTAACTTACCACTTGCTGGAATTTTTGCGTTTTTGAATACAAAGATGAGTCGTAATATCAAAAGTTCAGTTTATAAAATGTAACTTTAATTTAATAACAAGAAGCTAATATGTATCATAGGAAATAAACAGAAACTAATAACAAGTGTTCAATTAACCCGCCGTTATTTTCTAAGCACAAGTACGCTCATCTGAGAGACGAATTTCAAACCTGAGTTAACATATTCGGTACAATATTGTTAAAGGATGCAGTATCCAATCTTAGCAAATCTTCCTCATTTTGAAAATTATGAGAGTACACTTGATTCTTGATATATCCCCAAAAGGGAAAGTCTAGTGGAGTTAAGTCGGGTGGACCTTGCAGGCCAGGATGTATCACTATGAGTACCAATCCACTGTCCTGGGAAGCGACGGTTCCAATAATCACAAACAATTCTAGCGGTATATGTTTAAAAATCTGTTTTTTCGTTAACCAGCTGTTGAACCCCTACGAAAGATAATCCCCAGAAGTCAAAACTTGTGCGAGCTAAAGATTAACGAGGTCTCACCTTCTAACGTGTGATTTCTAACACGAGTTGGACGATAGCAAGTGAAAATCTATCGTTTTAACTAGGGCTTGAATCACCGACCAACACGGCAGTCAATTTGAGTGAGTGAACAAAGCACCCACGTCGAACTGCCTGGCTACCGACCGAACCATGTGCTGGATCATAATCTTGTTGGAACCAGCAGCTGTGAGTAACCGCTAAAGGCAAATTATCTAGAGCGTTTTCCAAATCATTTACTAATAAGTTTATGTACCGCTCCATTGTTAAATTATTTTGATAGATAAAAGGCCCAATTACATTCGCACCGAGAATCCCAACCCACATGTTGAAATCGAAACGATGTTGATGTCTGGACACTTTGTGTACACGCAGATTTTGTTGTGACCAATAATGAACATTCTGTCTATTGAAATTACCATTGTTGATGATCTTAGTTTCATCAGACCAAATTATTTTGAAGGGGAAATTTTCATCGTCTTGGCATTTTCTAGTGTACACAAAAGGTTGTTCGCCTTGCATCGGCACCTGGTCAGAGTCCATGACAAATCCTAAATTTATATGAATGATATTTATTTTTTCTCGAAATGAAGTGAGCGGTGGATTTGGCTACTCATGTATTATGTTCAATAGTGCGAGTGGATGTCTCAGGATTTTCAACAACGGCCTGACACACATCACGCTGACTTCATTACATTGCTTTTGTCAAGAAATCACTGGTTTTTTAAATGAGCCGTATTCTTTTAGATTAGGAACTGAATATTGATTTACCAGGTTGTCGTCTCTCTGGATACTTATTAGAGTACAGACGTTCAACCTCAACTCAGTTTGGAATAAAATGTAACATGACAACATATCAAATTTTCCAGTTTCTAAAAGGTGCCGTTTTCCATTTTCAACACAAATTAGGTAGGTTAAGAGATGTAGAAGTAGGAAGGGTAATTTGTCAAAAATTCTACCAAACAACAACATTTTTATGACATCAGAACATTGTGTCATTTTTTCCAGCGCGTAGTATCTAAAATTGAAGAAAAGCAGGTTAAGTAATCACTTTTCATTTTACGCGAGAAATGGTTACGAAATCATATTGTGTGATACGTTGCTGTATTCACAATGGGAAATGGCGTCGTATATAAGGTATACTTTAGTTTCGGCCCATATAAAAATACAAAGTTGATGATGTTTTATAAAAGGCGAAACGCCGCAGAAAAATTCTGCTCACGTTATCTTGTAGTCCTTGAAAAGTGGTCATGACAAAGTGCTATTTGTTTTACATTTCCTTTGAAAATAAAGCTAGGAGAAAATAATAGCGAAATTCTCAAATTTCGGTTTTTCTCGTAAATCTCCGAAACTACTCGGAATATGAAAACTTTCTGAATGGCATATTATTAGGCACATAAATGCGCCACTTTTCTCTAATTCAATCAACCCCGAATCACTAACCGTTTTCGATATCCCCATGCTGTTCATTCTTATCTTGGACACAGTGTATATTTCATTTCAATTGGACTGGTACTTCACACTACCCTAACATGCAATTCATACAAATTATTGACCTCAATTAATGAAGACTACCGATTGATGAACAGGAAGTTTTAAGAACAAGTACCCAACACGTACAAAACAGGCTAATTAGTGTTAGCAATGATATGATCAATTCTAGTGAATTTTTTCTGAAAATAAATTCAAAAGGGGTGAGAAATTAACTTCTTCTTGGTCATTCGATAGGAAACCGGCCAGTCGGTACCCGGTCGGTTCGTCGTGAGTGCTTTGTTCACTCACTCAAATCGGCTGCCGTGTTGGTCGGTGGTTCAAGCCTCAGGCTAAACAATCGATTTTCACTTGCTATCGTTCAACCCGTGTTAGGAATCACACGTTAAAAGGTAAGACCTCGTCAGTCCCCAGCTCGCACAAGTTTCAACTTCTGAGGATTGTCATTCGTGAGGGTGCAACAACTGGTCAACGAAAAAACATATTTTTTTCAAACCTTAATTCACTTCCAGAGATTCCAGCGGCTATTTTTCTTCTTTATTTTTGTATGTAGTAGCTACGTCATAGTTTATGTTGAAGTCGTGTTCTTTTTCAACAAATGTCCTGCATAAGTTGAATTGGTTTTGTCTAATTGAAAACTTCTTTTGTGTTCGGAAATACTTGTTTTGGAATTTCTAGATGTTATTCCGATATAAATATTTTGGTGAGTCACATTCCAGCTTGTAGATACCTGATTTGTGATCCTTGTTGTTGATGTTGTATTTGTTATTTTTTATATGTCTATGTCTAAGGTGTTAGCAGTTTAGTATGTTATGTTGATGTTATGTTCAGTTAGTAGTCTATATATCTTCTATGATACCTTTTCATTATTACTATTGTCTCTGATATGAGGGTATACGTTTCCAATGGCTTGTTTGAATAGTTTTTCATCAAGGATGTGATGAATCATGTTCCCAATGAATTTGTAAATTAATTTTTTGAAGTTTGAGCTGCTTTGTTGACTAGTTTCTTTGAAGTTGTATATAGAAATTTCAGCAAGTAGGGTGCTTAGCAGATTAACCATCATGAGGTCGTCTTTGTTGTTATACATGATGCTATTGAGTTCAATGACATTAAATTTCTCAACCCAAAAAATTTGAATGAAGCATTAGAGGATGGAGAATTAAATGAATTCCATTTTGCGATAGACTGCAAACAGATAAAAATTGTGAAACGATCCCAATATGGAGGTGAATATTTCCACAGAAGGGTGTATTGCAGCATAAATATATAAGCTTTCTGTGATCCAAGAGAAAAATTCATATCTTTGGATACTCATATGTTAGGGTCAATGCACGACATTCGTATACCAATGAGGTCTAAAATATTATAATCAAATGAACAATATGTGGTGGAAGGATTGTCTGCTATTGGGTGATTCTTGTTGTAGATGATAAATTCATACAAGAATTGTATAATTTTCACCAGTTCATGTAATAAGTCAGTGAATTCATAACTACCTAGTCGATGGGAGAAATAAAAGACAATGAAATGAGAATTATTGGGACACAATCATATTTTGCAAATCGATTCCGGATCTGCTATGAGAATGATCATTTTTGGTCTAGACAAAATCATTATTGCCATGGTAAACACCGGGGTATATCGAAAATGGAAGTTATCTGCCATCTTTCTGCTCTATATTGAAAATTTTGATCA